ATACTTTTGTTTGGATCACATATTAAGCGAAGACATGAGACAATGGAAACGAGGGTTGAATCAATTGGTGGCCAATAAGTAGATGGGAATCAATTGAATGGCTTCTTGGCGTCAATCACAACATTAAACCATAGATTGACTCAATTGTCACTTAAATACTCATCGAAGGGATTGTCTCCACATTTGGTTATGTAATGCCATATAAATTACGGCAAATATTGACACAAAACTTATCACTTCTTTAGAAATGTTAATTTTATTGTCAATTCATTTAATTCTTAACATATTTTTATCAATTGAATTCATTTATTCATATTATGAAGAGATATGTAATTCATATTTAATGACATAATATTAGTTCATTGGAAAGCATTGCGATTAAAGTTAAATAATTACATATACCGTAATACATATTTGTATAATGTATAAGCATATTTTGTAAATTATCAGTTATTCATTTAACATGAATACCGTTTTTTACATTATTTTTTAAGGGTATTTGTTGTAGTATTTGATTATAACTACAATTCATTGATGAATATATGGTTTTATAGGATTCTTGTTTTTCATATGAAGGCACAGAATCATTGCAAACTATAAGAGTTTCTATGGGTAGCAGAAATCCTTATAGTCATGAATTGATGGATAATTGCGTTTATTATTACGGGAATTGATATGAAAATTAATACTAAGAATGTTTTTTATAGTGATTTTTACCAATTAATGTATTTCTTGAAGGATTCACTCACAAGAGGATCACTGATTCTCTGTTTTGAGCATTTATTAAACCAATTCTAGTCTTAGATAAGTTTTTTGTATTCAAATAAGTTTTATAACAAAGTTTGTAATAAATAAATAAAAAGTATAGCATTAACTATATTCTCGAATATTAAAAATAAAAATAATTTACAATTAAATCTATATTTATGAAGTAATGTGAAGACTGAAGACTTCGGACTGAAGTTTGTGTTTAAACTGTAATTGAAGTTCAATTATTGAACGCAAGAAAAAGTTGATTCAAACGATACTACACTTTATAAGAGCGCAAGAATTGAATTGAATGCACAAAATAGCCGTAAAATTGAATAAAAAGTATTTTGCATTTCGCGTGAAATTCAAAGTTTTAAAAGAAATGCAAACGAATTAATTGTATTCAAGACTCGAACCCAATATTCTTCTGACACTTAGTTTTGACATAAAATATGAGCAGAAAGTGGTCTGAATTGAGGCGAGAAGTGATGTTAAGAGTAGTGATAGTGTTGTGCCTATCGGTGTCTTCGGTGAGGAGCGGATCGGATATCTGTAAAAACGGTGCGAAAATCGATTCCATGACTTATATGCCAGAGAATCAACAGTTTTTCATCACAAGCGGCGGTAACTTCTGGTTCCTGAAGGACTCGTACACGCAGTCCAATACAGCCGGCGATCCACTGCCGGGAGGGTTCACCAGAGGAGACGCCGCCGTCTTCGTGGACACAATGGACATCTGCAAAGGGAAGGGAGAAAAGCTGATCCATTTGGTGGAACTCACTTCCAGTGGCAATAAAGTGATGACATATGACGTCCGCACCAATCAGTGGAACACAAACCCCGTTGACCTCAAAACGGATCCGGTCTTCTCGTCAGCCAAACTGGATCTGAACGCCCGAATCGACGCCGCGTTTGTCTACCAGAAGACTAATATCGTTGTCTTCCAACACAACCAGTACTCAGTGGTCGACATAAAGAACATATGCGCCAAACCTCCCACTTCTACCGGCTTTGCGGCCAATTCGGTGACGGATATGAATATCGATCCGCAGCGACGGGTGGACGCCATCAGCTATGGTCGCGGCTCTAAGAACGGATCCCTCACCGCAATGGTTGACTCCATCTTCATGTTCCAACACCCGTCCTATTGGACACTATTCGTCAAATCCATCACTAATGGCAAAGTCACCGCCACTAAGAGCTCTCAGATGGATATCTTCACCAAATTCTTCAATTTCAATAAATCCATGAATTGTCAGTCATTCGCTCCGCCGACTGAAGCGCCGCTCTCTTTGGTGCCGCCGCCCAAAGCTGCCGCTCCGCGAGACGGACAAACTCCCGGCCCCGGAGGCGACTCCAACACCACAGCCGCCGAAGGGGCGCCGCCACCGGCCGGAGCCTCTGACCAACCCGGAGGAGAGTCCAATACCGCCGCCGCGTCCAAAGAAGAAGAGAAAGGCGGTAACAGTCTGTGGATCATAATTGTGATCATTGTTATCATTATAATAGTGATTGCGATTGTGCTGTGCGTCTGCTTAGCCTCCAAAAAGAAGGACAAAGAAGACAAGCCTCCAGAGGGTGGCGCCGCCGCAGACGCCGGTGTCGGAGCCGCGGGCAGTAAGACTGGGGCCGCAGCCGGCGGTGCGGCAGCCGGTGGTGCGGCGGCCGGTGGGGCGGCCGGCGCTTCCGGCAAGACTCTCAGCAAGACTTCAAACATGGGTTCGAGTCCGTCCACAATGTCTGTCCGCTCGACCACTGGTGCGAACCCAAAGGCCGGATCCAAAGTCGCCTCCAAAACCGGATCCAAAACCGGTTCAAAACATTGAGACTAAAAGTTTAAAAATCAAACAAACCTTTCGTTTAATTCAATACTAAATTCTTAACTCATTTATCAACTCTTCATTTTGTTTTTGTTTGTTTTGTTTTATTTTCTTTCATTTGTATTTATTTAATAAAAATCTATTTATAAAACACATTAATTTTACTTTACTTCTGCGGAGAGAGAGAGAGAGAGAGAGAGAGAGAGAGANGGGGCGACGAAGACCCCAGAGATGGACAATTGCAAAGCCTTCGGGTAATTAATATTGTTTATTATTAATTAGCAAATGATGGTGAAAATGCTCAATAAATCATTGCTTATTATTTTACAAATAATTAGATTACAATTGAGAGAGAGAGAGAGAGAGAGAGAGAGAGAGAGAGAGAGAGATCAAAGAATTATTAACGAGTTTATTTTGGTTATAAAATGATTTTATTTATAATATAGAAATAATTTATGAAAGTTAATTGATTGGAAATGATGGTAACAGAATTTAGTGGTCAAATGAGTGGTTATTTAAGCCCTTTGAATATATTGACAAACAGAGGTCCGGGAAGATTGTGAGCCATTATTATGCGAAGCCTTTCCACATAAGGTTTCAGTGATTGGCTTTCCATTTGACCAGAAGTGGAGTCTTTAAGATATTTACAAATATCGTTGAGAATACACGACACCTCCCAGGCCTGCAACTGGGATAACACAGTTGCCACGTGTTTGAACGGTTCCGATGGCAGTACACCAGTGCTCGACAGTAGAGTTAATAGTCTATACAAGAAATCATTGTTTAAACAACAGAATCCAATCCATAGGCAATGACAATACCTCTGAGTTTCAAAAATGTTTTCTTTACTCAACGAAGTGGACGCCCAATGAGTGCGTTGAACAGTCATTAGGGCCCGGATTAAGACCAGACAATTGCTTAAACAGTCTTCTTTACCAATGAGTTCGCATAGATCCCAAAGAATGGGATTAGCGTTGAATGCGCGCCATATATACAAATCTCTCTCAATTGTAATCTAATTATTTGTAAAATAATAAGCAATGATTTATTGAGCATTTTCACCATCATTTGCTAATTAATAATAAACAATATTAATTACCCGAAGGCTTTGCAATTGTCCATCTCTGGGGTCTTCGTCGCCCCACATATTGTCATTGGATAACAGATCGGGTGAAACGCATTGAACCAATAATTTAGCAAATGATGTCATATCTGTGAGAAACAAATATTTATGTCATTATTATTGAAAAGTTTATTTGCAAAAATACCTTTCTTTTTAACACAACACCGAAAGGCGTCTAAAACCAACTGTTGATTCACTATCAATGTCTCGTCCTCTGCGTTGCAGTGATTGCTATCGATCTCTGGTTTGTTTGCAATTAATGGTATTTTTCTAAACTTAGAATTTCCCAAATCATAGGAAGCGTTCTCTTTCATCAGATTTATTGTTTCATATGAAGAGATATTTGATTTGTTTTTGGTCTTAGTTTTGCAAAATAGTCGACTCTTTTCGAGACTAAATTCTAACAGACTTCGGGACAGAATCTGTTGATTAATGGCATAACTTTTTGCTAAAATAGTCATCGACTTCTGGCACGTGACCAGTGTTTCCATATAGATGTCCAGTTCATTGTCTAAACAATTGTTTTGTAATTCAATTATTTTAAAATAAGTCGAAACGAGTGACAGACAGAGTCTGTGTTGAGGTCTGACAACACGTTTGGGAAACTTTTCCATTGTATGCAATAATAGCCGCAAAATATAGTATTTTGTGAATATTTTTGCTTTCGATTCGAGATTATTATCAGAAAAGTATGAACACAAGAGATCGATGTCGAGACACACGGACTCGCCCTCAACGGCAGCCAATAAGTGAGACCAATAGCTGACACTCTTCTCAAACGGTAGACGCAAAGTATCGCTCAAACACTTGTGTATTTGAGGTCCGAATTGAAGTTTTAATGATTTCATTAAAGGAGACAACAGTAGGTTTGGAACCGGATTTTTGAATGAATTGGTGTTTATATTATGCAAATGTGTGGACAGAATGCTGTGAAACATTTCAGTCACAAATTCTGTGCTGTAATGAAGACATAGTAAATGCAAAAGTCTTAACTGAAGGCGTCGTAGAGAAGGATTCGTCGTCTTCACGGAATGGACAACAAGTCCGGAGACGTTGTTCTTCAGTAAATCCAGAATCGGAGGGCTGTTTGTTAGCGTCATATTAGAGCCGTAAACAAATGAATGAATGTGTGATATAATGGCAGACAATATAACAAATGTCCGCTCTTTGAGCTCATCGTTGGCCTCCGAGTGAACCGATATATCGAAAGCGATTCGTAACAAATCAAAAGCGTTCGCAGCGTTTGTTATGCAATAAATGATGTGATCGTTCAGATCTTCGGCTTTTGTGGTCACAACCAATTCGTTCAAAGCTTTAATGTTATCTAAAAACATATTTTCATATTTAATACTTTACAATATTTGTTGCAATTTAATAATGAAATTGTATTTCAATGCTTACATTGTTTGGTCGCCTCCGAAACCAATAGATCTAAAAGTGGTTTAGAGTTTGTGCTTAACTTTAGAAGAAACGGAATGTTAGACTTGGATGAGTTGACAATAGCTCTGGGATTGTGTTCAGACAAATAAGACAATATACAGGTGACAGATGGAGAAGAGGTGGCGCTTTGGATCAGTTGCTCGATGTATGTGTTAAAGCGAGAGTTGTTGGACATGGTTGTGATCAGATGCGCGAGAATCCAATCGCAATGCGGGGAATATTGAAGCATTTGTTTGACCAGACCTTCGAGTTCAATGGTATTGCATCTGATGGTCAGGTTTGTGAGCGCTTGCATTGCCGGGCATTGCATCCAAAAGGCCAACGAAGAACTCAACGACAAATTGGGATCCGTTTGGCCGGAACTCTTCTGCACACCAGTGGACACATTCTGACCGAATCTGCCGTATTTGGCGCTCAGTTTGGCCGCCAATTCCAGCGCCCAATCGGTTATACTCTTAGCAAACGTTGGATTGGATTCGCTTTCAATTAAAGTAATTAAATATTCGCTGATTCTTATGAACTGGAAGTCCAATGAATTCATCACTTCATTCAACTCGTGGTTGTGATCGGTGTTCGCCTTCGAGTCGTTCAGCGATTCCATCGGCACAGATGTGGCCGCCGTTGGACTCTGAGGACAGTCCAAACTGGACGTGGCTTTAGACTCGTCGCTGCAATCCATCGACTGTCTCCTCGAATCGGTGGACACCTTCCGAATGGCCACCAAATCGTTGGCATTTAAGTTACCGTTAATTGAGTTCTTTTGGGCCGAAATGAATCGCGAGATAATCGGTCCGACTCTTTGACCGCCGACCGATCGGTCGCCGATCGACGGCAACTCATTCACCGAATTCTGGACACAATATTCGGCACAATATTCGTCAAAGAGTTGAGAGTAGAGCTGAAGAACCGCTTCCCGAGCGGACGGACAGTCACTGAGAAGTGTAAGACTGGAGTTGAGAACCGATTCGACGGAACAGCTCTTCTCTTCGCAAACAAATTGCAAAAAGTTTTTCAATTCATTGAGTATTGAGTTCTCGTTGTGAGACTCGGATGACATTGTCTTCGCGTATGTCTTCAGTGGTTACCACTCTTTCAATGTCTTTGCCATCAAATGAAAACAATGCTTACCATCGATGCAAATGTGTTCACATAAAAGACGTCTTTTAAATGACCGCTCAATTCAATTGAGACTCAATTCATTGATTAATAAACCATTTATCCATTCATTTAATTGTTTTACATTTGATTTCAATGCAAATGAATGTCTATTTAATCACAATTTAATGACAAATACAATAATAAACACAAATAATTGAAGACATTATTTATGGTTTGTTTTCAAAACAAAAACTTTAAATTCATTTTTCAAACGAAACTCAACTCACTTATCATTTTCTGTAATCAATGGCCAGTTCTTCGGCGACGGAAGCGATGGACACAACGACGAGTGGATTGTCTTATCCGACATGCGATGAAATGGACGACAAAACGGCTCAACGATTGGTGAAGGAGTGCTCGACTCTAATCATTGAAGACATTCCGATGGGAACCCAATTCGGCATCGATTTGAATGTCTATAATATTGGCCACAAGTTTATGGGTCTTAAACTCATTCCTCCGGGACTTCATTTCATACACTATAGCTCTGTATCCAAAGACGGATCCGTCGCTCCGAGGATCGGGTTTTTGCGGTACTTCTCGCTTAAGGAACTGATTGTTAGGAAATGGAATCTATTGGATGAAGACATTGAAGAAGAATACAAGGATTTGCCACAAATACAGCGATACGTGGATAATGTGATGAATGGTTCGCTGGACAGCCATTTGGGTGCCTATCAGTACAGTTCGTACGCCGATTGGGTCGGACTCACTGACTATATCACCGAAACGGTGTTCAATAGACTAAACCCGAAGAGCGGACAAATAGCTTCGGTCACACAATTGATACCATTGGACAGGAATGAGGCGAAGACTGATTCGGATGGACTACCAGTGATGGAAAGGGAACCCAATTGTGTAATCAATTTCTCCGAAATACCCAAACATTTTCTCTACCCCTCGGACTCGAGTGCATCGCAAATATCTCACCACTCAATGGACAGCTCATACACTCTCGAGACAATTGCCATGAGATGCGGACAAATGGATGATATTTTGGGTGAATTGCAGTTCTCTTTCGTCACTTTCCTTGTGGGCCATGTCTTCGATTCGTTTGAATACTGGAAACAATTGCTTCACATCTTGTGTTTTGCCGACAACTCGATCACCAAATACACAGACTTTTACCTAAACTTCATACGAGTCTTACATTTCCAACTCAAACAAACGCCGCACCAGTTGTTCGCCGATATCGTCGAAAACAACAACTTTTTGGTCACATATTTAAAGACATTCTTCGCGAACATCGAATCAAACCTTAAAGTGAGAGAAGATCTTAGGAAAAGGGGTCTAAGATTTAGACAGTTTTTGACCAAAAACTTTAAATGGGATTTCAGTTCAGAACTGGAAGACGAAGCGCCCACTATTGTCGACATTAAGTGAATCATTGTTTATAAAATTATTTAATAAATTTGTAAATAAATTTAAAATAATGATTTGAGTTATAACTTATGGATCAGTTGCTAATATCCATTTCGCAGTCATTAGCGCTCAGATCGGGTAATGGAGTGTCTGGTGGTTGTGGTGTTGTATTAATGATATTAGATTTGGATCGACTCCCAGTGATCTTAACATTTGGCAGAATTTTCTCTTCATTTGCTTTCGATAACAAGAAGTCTGTTATAACCGTTTGTTTTTCATATTTAACAGCGTTTTCGGTCCCATTAGTAGAATCTAAATGTGAATACAAATAATAAGTGAATGACTGAAACGATCAACTATTTGAATGGTAAATACCGTGAAATATAGAGATCTCAGTGACCAGATGTTCGATGGCGTGGCCTAACATTGTGGTCGAGAACGAGTCATCTCGTTTCAGACCTAAAGCCTAATGCATTCCACATAACGTTTGAGTAATTAATTGTGAAAAACAGCAAATGATGGCAAACCTTATGGAAGTATTCGACCGATTCATTCCATTTAGTCATCAAACTATACACGAATCCGAGCGCTGAATATGTGGACGGATTTTGCGGCGACAGAATCAGCGCCTGTTTGTGGAAATCGATCGCCTCTTCGTATTTCCTTTCATTATATTATATTAATATTAAATATGAGGACATTTTTAAATAGATTTTAAATTAATTAATACTTTAATTTCCTTAAGACGTGTCCCATATTATTGAGAAGTGGTTCCCATTTGTCGGGCAATACTGTTATTTCCTTTCTATTCTTAATTATATTCAGAGCGTCTCTGAAGTGTTTCTCGGCTGAAGTAAAACTAAAACATTCAAAATGATTAATTAAATGACATACTATTCAAAGCCAAGTGTGACTCACTTTGAGCTCTGATATGCAATAACTCCCAACTCATGCAAAACGAAGGGATCGTTTGGTGCGATTTCGAGGGCCTGTTTGAAGAACCTTTCGGCCAATTTTGTGTTATCTGTTAAGCCGTACTCTAAGCCTATATAAAGGAGGGGTAAGTGACAGCCTCTCATCAGATGAGATGCCTTGAAGTAAGCGGCCATCGCCTGGTCGTGTTCGCTCTCCACAGCGAATGAGTGGCCGTACAGAAGCCACGCCGGAGCCAACACGTTGTCCAAAGTGGTCGCTTTGCTTAGGAATCGTCGCGCGGCGTCTGTTTTGTTGATCAATAGGTAATAACAGCCGACGGCGAACCACGACAACTGTTATACACATTCAGATTCACTCATTTTGTATTTATAAAGCGTATGAAAGAACTGACCGAACTTTCGGGATAGAGATCGACGAGTTTATGCGCCAAATCGAAAAGCGCTGTTCAGTAAATAAAAAATATTTTAAACTTTGCTTTATTTTCAGTCATGATTTACCATTCGTTTTCTTGAGTTCCATCAGACATGACAAGTGAATGGGAAGACATTGCGTGTGATAGAGATCTCGGGTTAAAACTCTAATAATTGAAATAAATTTTAAATTTAAAACAAAACGCTAAAAGACTTCAACACTTACTGAGAAGTAATCCTAAAGCACTGTTGGTATTCACAGTTATAGTAATGTCTTTCGGCTAATGTTGTCATGAAATCAACGTTTTCGTAGAGAATGTTTGAAAACTCATTGGGAACCGTTATGTCTCCCGGTTTGTCATACTATTCACACATTTTCCGTATGAAATTATTTATCATTTCAGTTATAAATTATAAGTTCAATAATAATTATTACAAACCTTTTTGAGTTGCGATTCGTATAGAAATCTGACAAATTTGGTCTCATCTTTAGTACATTGATTCTCAAACTCTAGGGAACCGATGATCGCCTCCTCTGTAATGCATCACAACATTAACATTAGTCGAAATGAGCGGACAATTCAGGTGTTGAATCAAACCTTCATTTCTTGTAAGCATTTGGTGTTGAGTTAACGAATAGAAGGCTTCGTAACAAAAGACATCGTATTTGAGGGCGTCTTTGAAACAAGTGATGGCAATCATCCGATTGTCTAACGCCTCGTATATCTGACCTTTAAGTAAAGCGATTCCACTATTCCACTGATTGTATCGCAAATTTTTGTATTTCATTAAATAATCATTAAATTTATGCACAAAATCATTGTCTCAATTACTTTATTATCTCCTTCTCTGTCACCGCCGGTTATGTCCATCGATTTGGTGTCATTATAATCATATTCAAGCACTTCCAGCGCTTCCTTATACTCTTTGGCCGAAAACTACGGGACAAATGACAAACAAATGTGCAATCATTTGACATGACATGCGGTTGAGTCGGGAAGTGATCTTACGTGACATTTGGC